CATTTTTGTTGTTGTTTTTTAAGAACCAAAATAGCCACTGGTTTGTGAAAGATAATGAAACTGTTATGTTGTTTTTGTTTCTATTTCAACAAAATCAATCAAAGCATGTCCGAGAAATGATAATAGACACAAGAAACATGGTTGTCAGTCAGCCATTTTGAATAAAATGACAAAACAGTATGACATACATGACTAACTGTAACTCTTACTCAGTATAGCAGTACAACAAACATTTCTTTTGCTAAACCATGAATGTGTCAGAGCATTATTCAATTTAAATAGAAATGTCAAAACTGAGAGATACCACTGTCTCATTACTGTCAAACACGTTTTAATCATTCATGTAAGCAAATCAAGACTGGCAAACACCTGTATGAAAATAGAATTTGATTCACAGTGAACAGGTAATGTAAAAAGATACGTTTTAATCTCATGCACAGTTTCCAGGCATGCAATGTGGCACGTACATGTAGGGCCCACACTTTCCTCTAAAACAACAAAATCACTTTTTTCTGTATTCTAATGAACATCTACCATTTTTGAAAAACTACAATTTACTCTTTGCTGACAAGATAACAGAATAATTTTGTTATGAACATGTCCATTGAACAGTGCTGTTAAGTTTAGTCAGGACCAAAACCAATACCACCATCAGGCTGTTCAAAGAATTCTTCTAACCACTTATCAATGAAACAAAACAAAACAATACAGACTATATACTTCATTTAGGTACACCTCAAATTAGCAACAATACAGCCTAGCTGCTTTAGCTTTATCTTGTACTAGAAACTATACAGAGTAGCTGAATTAGCCACATCTTGTAGTAGAAACAATACAGAGTAGCTGAATTAGCCATATCTTGTAGTAGAAACAATACAGAGTAGCTGAATTAGCCATATCTTGTAGTAGATACAATACAGAGTAGCTGAATTAGCTATATCTTGTAGTAGATTCAATGCAGAGTAGCTGAATTAGCTACATCTTGTAGTAGATACAATACAGAGTAGCTGAATTAGCTACATCTTGTAATAGATACAATACAGAGTAGCTGAATTAGCTACATCTTGTAATAGATACAATACAGAGTAGCTGAATTAGCCATATCTTGTAATAGATACAATACAGAGTAGCTGAATTAGCTACATCTTGTAATAAATACAATACAGAGTAGCTGAATTAGCTACATCTTGTAATAGATAC